CAACCAGACAAAACCCAGCTCATCAGCTGGTCTGCAAACGTCCCTCTGGGATGAGCGTCCTCCCCCTGTCTTACACTCAGGCCTTGCCGGTGTGTCCAGAGCCATGAAGTCAGCTCTGTGGCTAAGTCTGTCCGGCCAAGGCGTCTTTCATGCCCCTCATACCCAGGACAGGCCAGGGCAGAGTTCTGTCCAGCTTCCTGGGTCACAGCCTCTGGGCGCTGGAATCACAAAGCATGCGCGAGGCTGATTGCTCTACAACCTGCGACGGAAAGAGAAGCGAAATCTAAGCTTGACCAGTGAATCCAGAGCTAGAAAAATCCCTACAGGGTATCCTGTGATCCTGGAGGTCAGCTGCAGCTCTGCAGTGCTTCCAGGGGACGAGCCGCCACTGGGGACCCAGAGGATTTTGACCACTTTGGGGGTTGCTGGGGTGGGGGCGGGGCGGGGAGAAGCAAGTCTCCAAGAAAGAAAAGAGACCAGGAAAAGATGCTGTGTAACCTAGCTTTGGGGAATAGGTCTGCCAGAGTTTGTTGTAGATAAGAAAGAGGGTATATAAAGAAAGACTGGGTCAAAAGGGTAGGGCCACTGAAGTCACTCAATTATAACAAGCTTGCTATTCTGCAGCTATTCATAATTTCCACTCCTGGCTCTGAACTTACATTCTAGGGCCCCACCCAGGTCTTCATTTCCATCAGCGTTACGTATAAAATTCACCTGTACGTTTCATTAGGAGAAGCTTGACTTTAAATAGGAACAGCAAAGAGCAGAAGGGCTGCAATTTGCCATAAAGAAAGTCACTGCTTTGCTTTAAAATAAGACTTCACTATCCATTTAACAGCTCCCACTTCATTCCCAATGCAGATTAATAGGAAAAATACCCTACGCTTGTTAAGCACATCCAACATGTCTTAACTGATACTTCGACTCAGTTGCAAGCACTTGCCCAGCCTGACTACCCTCCGCTCCTGAGGGCTGCCGGGCCCTCTGCTTCTCTTGCCCTTGGTCGGGCCAAACACTCAAATGCTTTCTAACCTGGAAAACCACAAAAACTTATTCTTTCACCAAGTGGAAGGGCTGTGTTCTCCACCTTGACCTCAGGTTTTCCCCTCTTTTCAGATGTTGCTCCTGAATCAATAGTTAGAAAACTGGTTTCTTAAAGAAGTCAGGCCCTTTCTCTCTCCAACAACAACGCTACTCCACACACATACACTATTAAAGTCTTCACACTACACACACACACACACACACACACACACACACAATGTTAAAGTCTTCACAGTACATTAGAAAGGTTTGGGTTTGGTTTGGTTTAACTTACCTGGTTTCTCCAGAGACAGGCATTATGTTAGGTGCTGGGAAAGCCAGCCAAGTTCCAGGCTTCATAGCTTATGGTATGTATACTTTACACACACACACACACACACACAATATATATATATATATAGTTTTCTATAGTCATATATAGGCTTCCCTTGTGGCTCAGCTGGTAAAGAATCTGCCTTGCAATGCAGGAGATCTGGGTTCAATCCCTGGCTTGGAAAGATCCCCTGGAGAAGGGAATGGCTACCTACTCCAGTATTCTTGCCTGGAGAATTCAATGGACAGAGAACCCTGGTGGGCTGTAGTCCATGGGGTCACAAAGAGCTGGACACCACTGAGCAACTAACACTTTCACTTTTATGCACTCTTTTAAGTGATTCACATGTGCCATTTTTTCTGTCCACATACCCGTGTTTCATAGGTTTTAAAATTCTTTTTATTGAGGTATAGTTGATGTACAATATTATATAAGCTTCAGATGTATAACAATTATTCACAATTTTTAAAGGTTATACTCCATTTATAGTCATGATTAAATGTTGGCTATTTTCCCTGTCCTGTACAATATATCCTTGTAGCTTATTTTTTTATACCCAACAGTTTGTACCTCCAAGTCCCCTACCATTCTCTTACCCCCTCGCCTTTTCGCTTCCCAACTGGTAACCACTAGTTTCTTCTCTGTGAGTCTGTTCCTTTATTGTTATATGTATCAGTTTGTTGCATTTTTTGAGATTCTACATGTAAATGATATCATACAATATCTGTCTTTCTCTCTCTGGCTTATTCCACTTACTCTCCATGCTGTTGCAAATTTCATTCTTTTTTATAGTTTATATAACAGTATTTCACATCCCAGAATTCACTCCCTTCTCATCACCGTACGTTCCGAGGGTGCTCCCTGTGTGGTTGCATGGGTCCTTCTGCTGTGGCGGGCTGGCTGCCATGGGCAGTCTGGCAGGCTGGCCGGCCCCCCAACCAAACGAAAGGCAAGCCCCGCCCTGGGGAAGGGGGGGGGAAAAAAGCAAAACAAAACCTTTTAACCCGTCAACCGGTGAAGGAAAACTAAGGTGCTTAAAAAACCTGAAAAATGGAAAAGATGGTGCCGGGAAAAATGGGGGGCCGGGGGCCTTTTGAAATAAGGGTTTTTTGGGGGGGGGATATATACACAGAAATGAGATTGCTGGGTCATATGGTACTTTTATTTTTTTGAGAAACAGCCATACTGTTTTCTGCAGTGGACACACCAATTTACATTCTCACCAGCAGTGTATGGTAGTTCCCTTTTCTTGACATCCTTGTCAATGTTTGCTATTGGTAGACTTTTTGAAGAGAGCCACTCTGACAGGTGAGAGGTTGTATCTCATTGTGGTTTTGATTTGTGTTTCTCTGATGAATAATGATACTTTTGATATAATTAAAAAGTTTTATTTTATAATCACATTTAGCAATGTACCTAACAACTGGAGCACACATATTCTGATCAAGCACACATGAAGTGTTTTTGAGAACTGACCATACAGTAGACCATCAAGCAAGATTCAACAGATTTCAAAAACTGTATCACATACAGGTCATATTTTCTCACCATTAGAGTGAGTTGCCATTTCCTTCTCCAGGGGATCTTCCCAGCCCAGGGATCAAAGCTGGGTCTCCAGCATTGCAGGCAGATTCTTAACCATCTGAGCCACCAGGGAAGCCCAAGTTAGAAATTAATAACAGAAAGTATAACTATGATAGAAAATACTTTAATAGAGAAATAACCAAACAACTGATTAGGTAAAATTCTTCTTTACAGAACAATCAGCTATTAGATGCAGAAGTAACAAAAGAATTAGCTGTTATTTTCAATAATTAATGAGATATGAATGTAGGCAACTATGATTATTAACAATGTTGTCTCTTTTCCTGTACCCACTGGCCATCTGTATTTCTTCTTTGAAAAATTGTCTCTTCAGGTCTTCTGCCCATTTTTCAATTGGGTTGTTTGTTTTGGGTAGGGAAGTTTTCAGTTATTATTCCTTCAAATATGTTCTCAGCCCCTTTCTCACTCTCTTCTCCTTCTGAATCCCTAAAATGCAAATATTTGTGTGCTTTATGCTGTCCCAGAGGTCTCTTAAACTCTTATTTCTTTTCATTCTTTTCTGTTCAGCATTAATGATTGCCACTACTCTGTCTTCCAGCTTACTAATCCATTCCTTTGTATCATCTAGTCTCTACTGTCAGTTCCTGCTAGTGTATTTTTCATTTCAGTTTTGTATTCTTCATCTGTTTGTTCTTTTATTTTCTCATTCTTTGTCAAAAGCCTCTAACTTCTCACTCTCCATTCATTCTCCTCCCCAGTTCTTGCATCATCTTTATGATCACTACCCTGAACTCTTTCTTGAGTAGATTGCCTATTGCCACATCACTCAGTTCTCCTGAGGCTTTATTTCATTCCTTTGTTTGAAATATGTTCCTCTGTTGCATCATTTTACCTAACTTGTTCTTATTTCTATGCAGCCAGTAGGTTCGTTACATTTCCCGATCTTAGAGAAATGGCTTTTTGAACGAAACGTTCTCTGCATCCCAGAATTCACTCCCTTCTCATCTCTGTATGCTCCAAGGGTGCTCCCCATGTGGTTACATGGGTCCTTCTGCTGTGGTAGGCTGGCTACCATGGGCAGTCTGGTAGGCTTGGTTGGCCCCCGACCCAGTTGGATGTCAGGCCCTGCCTTGTGCAAAGGCTGCCAGCTGCTGGTTGGCAGGGTCCGGTCACAAGGTGGCTGACTGCAGAATCCCAGGGAGACCCAGGTTATTGCTGAGTTAACTAGAGGATCGAGGTAGGGTTCAGGAGTCCCTGGGACTGTTGCCGTCCCATTGGTGGGTGAAACCACATCCTGGAGCTAGTGCCCGCTTACTGGTGGGTGGAGCCCGGTCCAAGGGTCCGGTTGCAGGGCCCAGGGACACAACCTAAATTCACCTCTGGTCTGCTCTGTGCCCAGATTGTTCTAAGCCCCAGGATCCAGCCACAAGGAGCCTGCACTTGCCTCTATTTGCAGCTCTCTGTTCCTCCCCCACCTCCTGTGTTTGCTCCTGTATCTTTGTTCAAGCGCCTAGCTCACTCTCTCCGTCTGGAGTTATCTATGTACACATCTCATCTCCGCAAATCTGAACTTGCAGAAAGAACCCTGGCTTTTCCATCTCTGGCTACCCACTGCCTCCCAGCACAAAGAGAATTTGTTCAGTTGCTCAGTCGTGTCCAACTCTTTGTGACTCCATGGACTGCAGCAAACCAGGCCTCCCCGTCCTTCACCATCTGCCTGAGCTTGCTCAGACTCATGTCCATCAAGTCAGTGATGCCATCCAACCATCTCATTGTCTGTCACCCCCATTCTCCTCCTGCCCTCAAACTTTCCCAGCATCAGGGTGTTTTCCAATGAGTCAAGCTCTTCAAATCAGGTGGCCAAAGCATTGGAGCTTCAGTTTCAGCATCAGTCCTTCCAGTGAATATTCAAGGTTGATTTCCTTTAGGATGGACTGGTTTGATCTCCTTGCAGTCCAAAGGACTCTCAAAGAGTCTTCTCCAACACCACAAAGAGAATAGGTGCTCAGTAAATACTTACTTCCACCCCATCTCCCCTTTCCTACCAAGAGTAGGTAGCTCCCAGGTGGAAGGACACATGTGGATTTTGTCATTGCAGCCCCACCATGTGCACTGCCAGCCCCTGTGACCTGGAAGAGATCCCTCTGGATGATGAGGACCCAGACAGCTTGGAGTACAAAATCCTGGAGTTCTATGTCAAACACCACGTCTTCCAGAACACTTCTGTCGTCCTCTCACCGAAGCTCCTAAGAACAAGGAGTCTGTCCCAGAAAGGGCCGGAGAGCTGGCCAGTGAATGAGGCATGGACGCAGGGGCCGTGGCCCTGCAGAAATTCCCAATCCAGTGAGAAGGCCATAAACCTCACCAAGAAAAAGTCGTCTTGGAGGACCCTCTTCGGGGTAGCAGAGAAGGAGGAGGACTCACAGAGCTCGCCTCCGGAAATCCGTGCCCAGGGACAGAGGGTGGGGGGACCTCAGGCCCGTCCTCGGAGTCCGAAATGGCCAAGATCCCGCTCCAGCATGGACCAGCACTTAGAGCACAAAGGTAAGCTTTGGGGAACCAACTGCACTTTCTCTCCCACAGCCCCTTCTTTCCCTTTGTGTGCCTGAGGGTTTGCCTCCTCCCACCCTTAGGTAGGGAACTCTTTGAACCTCAGCTTCCCAACCTATTAATACTCAATTCTTTTGTTGGTTTTGTTTGTTTGTTTGTTTGTTTTTACTTTTTATTTTTGGCTGTGCTGGGTCTTCATTTCTATGCAGGCTTTTCTTTAGTTTTGGAGACTGGGGGCTACTCCCTAGTTGGGGTCTGTAGGCTTCTCATTGCCGTGGCTTCTCCTATTGCAGAGCACAAGCTCTGGGGTTCACAGGCTCCAGTAATTTTAGCACATGGGCTCTAGAGCACAGGCTCAATACTTGTGGTGCACGGGTTCAGCTGCTTCACGGCACATGGGGTCTTCCCAGATCAGGGATCCAATCTGTGTCTTCTGCATTAGCAGGCATATTCTTTGCCACTCTGGTTGTTCAGTCGCTAAGTCATGTCTGACTCTTTGCAACCCCTTAGACTACAGCACACAAGGCTTCCCTGTCCTTCACTGTCTCCTAGAGTTTGCTCAAATTCATGTCCATCAAGTCAGTGACTCAATGTCTATCAGGATGGACATGAGTTTGAGCATGCTCCGGGAGTTGGTTATGAACAGGGAAGCCTGGTGTGCTAGTCCATGGGGTGACAAATAGTCAGACATGATGAGTGACTGAAGTGAACTGAGTCAGTGGTGCTATCTAACCATCTCAATCTCTGCTGCTCTCTTTTGCTTTTGCCCTCAATCTTTCCCAGCATCAAGGTCTTTTCCAATGAGCTAGCTCTTTGCAGGTGGCCAAATTAAGTTTCAGCTTCATATTATTGTTTCCAATGAATATTCAGGGTTGATTTCCTTTAGGATTGACTGATTTGATCTCCAAGGGACTCTCAAGAGTCTTCTCCAATTCCACTGAGGCACCAGGGAAGCCCAATACTCAATCCTAATTGTCCTACTTTCCTTAAGACTGAGCAGAAAGGAAAAGTTTGATGGTGAAGGGTGATGGGACTGGTTTTCTGGCTCCACCATCTATAATTAAACTTGCTGCCCAAATTCCTAATTCTCGGTGCCAGAGACCAATACAAAGGGAAGATCCCTAGATGTGCTCAGGCTGCTGTTCTTCATGAGGGAAGTCAACTCCCATCTCTAGGCCTCTGCCTTTCCATCTGTACCTTGGCTTCTTGAAGGTGGATGGAAAGATCAGATAGCTATATAGAAAAGGGATTTCAAAGTTCAAGCCCCTCAAAACACAACCAAGAAGCATTTTGACTAAATCTTCTTTCAGTGGGACAAAACACATTGTATTGAACAGAGCATTTTCATGAAAGGCTTTAACAGTGTCGCCCTTCATCCACAGACCTAGGCATAAACATCTTCCCCTCTAACCATATCTTCTGCCTGATGCCCAGATTTTAAAAGAAACCTGCTCTCCTGCTGGGCTGATTGGCCTGTGTCAATAATTAGTCAACAGGTGGCAGTAATGTCTCAAGTTTTAAATGCTGTGACCGTCAGGCTTATTGGAGAATCAGCGCACACAATGACAGCTTTAGAGCACTGGCTGCTCAAGGAAACGTCCATTTCCCGTTAGACTTGTAAACTTTAGGGAGGAGAAGTTAAGGTTGGGATTATCTGAGGAAATCCTCCTCCCTCCAGGTCTTCTGCTGGGGGTGGGATCTGATGTCCAGAGCAAACAGAACAGTTTGGCTTGCTTGCCTGTGTGTGTGTTCAGTTGTGTCCGACACTTTGTGACTCCACGGACAGTAGCCTGCCAGGCTCCTCTGTCCATGGCATTTTCCCCGGCAGGAATACTGGAGGGGGTTGCCATTTCCTACACTCCAGGGGATTTTCCCCACCCAGGGATAGTACCCGGGTCTCTGTGTCTCTTGCATTGGCAGGCATATTCTTTACCACCTGAGCCACCTGGGAAGCCCCATCGAACAGTTTGAAGTGAAGTGAAGTCGCTCAGTCGTGTCTGACTCTTTGCGACCCCATGGACTGTAGCCTACTATGCTCCTCTGCCCATGGGATTTTCCAGGCAAGAGTACTGGAGTGGGCTGCCATTTCCTTCTCCAGAGGATCTTCCCGACCCAGGGATCGAACCTAGGCCTCCCGCATTGTAGGCAGACGCTTTACCATCTGAGCCACCAGGGAAGTTTAGAGGCACATAAATAGGTTTTTCTGCTTGTCCTGTTCTTTGAAGTTTGCCAGGAAACAGAAGATTTTACAGACTTTAACTTTCTGGTTTTCCTGAGGAAAACAGTGTTCTGTATTTCAAGATTACTGAAGGGTCATTGGACCTTTGCCTATTTTCTGAAATTTCCAGATCTCTGTGTAGACCTATAGATATTCCTACCAAAGTAGAAATGGTTATCTCCTAAGGAGGCTTAGCTTTAATGATTCACTTAAGTTGGTCCTTCCTCTCCCCTTTCTCTCTCTCTGCTTTCTTGTTTAGGTAATTATGACGGTGGTTAGCTGGTTCTATGCTGAGTGTGACCCAAGAGGGACTTGCCCTCTATTTCTCTTCTGCCACATGTAAATCAGAACTCAGTAGTTGGTGTCCCCTGGGTTCTTTTAACTAAAGGTCACAGTTTAGCCTGTGCTGCCATTTCAGACACCGGGCTGGACTAAGAACTATGAGATTATGTCCCAAGACCAAAGTCTAGTAGTGACAGGCCTTCAGATGTAGAAAAACAAATGGCAATACCAATTTGAGAAACACCAACCGTTTTTCTGTGAGTCTCTTTTTTCCTCCACAGCTGTGATCTGCTGTAACTTCACTGACATAGAGATTATTTTTCTCTCCTATAAAAGAAAACCACCGTTTGGCAGCTCAGGCTTGATCTGCCAGTTCCCCAGTCTTTAAGGATTCCATTCTGTTGCCCCTCAGCTAATGTCTTCCAACCTCAAAGTCACCTTAAACCCCAAGACGGCTGCTCAGATTCCAGCCATCGTGTCTACATTCTAAGCAGGGAGAAAGAGGAAGCAAGGAGAAGGACAAAAGTTTATCTTTCAAGATAATTCCGCTCCCTTTTAGAGAGCTTTCGTAAAACTGTAGCCAACTTCTTACATCTCAGTGCCTACACCTTATTGCAAAAGAGGCTGAGAAATGTAGTTCTGTCAGCTGCCCCTGACATTTCAGGGGTCTGTTACTAAGGAAGATAAAGAAAAGGGATACTAGGTAGGAAATAGCAGACTCCCCTATATGGAATTCTCTCCCAAATGCCCTGTCCTTTCTCTTTAAAAGAAAAACCTCAAGCCAAATGCCTTCCCTACTCTCCTGCTCTCCTTAACTGCACAATGAGCCCCCAGAATAAACTCCAAAGAAGGGCAGCATTCCATTTTCTCTCCACCCCCATCCAGTGTTTCCTTGCCTATCAGATCAGACCAACTCTGACCAGAAGGAAATCTTTAAAATATATATATATATATATATTAGAATGGAAATTTTCTTTTTTTTTTTTTTTTTTGCCATACTGCAAGGCATGTGGCATCTTATAGTCCCCTGACCAGGGATTGAACCAGTACCTCCTGTGGTGGAAGCACAGAATCTTAACCACTGGACTGCCAGGGAAGTCCCTAGAATGGGAATCTTAACCAGGTTAATTCACCTGAGTTTCAAAATGTGTTTACTTATAGATTTTCTTGCACATATTTTGTCTGCATTCCTCCAATCCATAGAAACAGACACACAGATTAGTCAGCTTGGGGACCACCTCTGTGTCCTCTAGTGGTCTCGTGACCACGTGGTGGAGGCTGGGAGATGGGAAGGGGCAGCCATGAGGGTCTTCATCTGCCTCCTCTGAGGGCAAGGTGGGCAGAGCATGACTCTTCCATGGAAAAGAGCATGTTGATCACCCCACCAACTGCATGAGGTTAGAGAGGCAAGGCGTGCACGCTTTCCTCTCCTACCTCCCATGGACACAAGGGAAGGCTCCCACTGGTTTGGGCATCCAGCCTCTTGCCACCTCCTTGCGTGGGCAGCTGGCGTTCACGAGGAGGCTGGTTGGACTGCAGTAAGGTGATTTAAAAGTGTGAAAGTATTTTTGGTTGGATTGTTGTAAAATGGAAAGGAAAAGCATTGATCCTCCATTCCTTAACCTCTCCAGTTCTTCTCTCTCTAATCCACTGCTGATCTGTTTTTGAACCCAATGGATGGAGCACCATGAAAAAAGTGGCTTTTTAAGGAAGGCATTATGCCTTCTTTTTAAAAGGAAGGCATTGTGGACAGAGCATCAGTGGCCTGTCAGTGAACACCCAGGAAGGGTGATGGGAGAATCTGGGGAAAGAGAATCAGACATCACCTGGCAGCTCCTCAGGAGGTCACACCCAGCTCTTCACATGACACCCACGCCTTGCCTTGCTCATCTATCCTGACTGACAAAGTCTGGGAGTTCCTCTGGGCACACTGACCTTCTGGCCCAAACCCGTTACTGTCAACAAGTCTTATGAATTAAATACTGTTGTTCTTAAACATTACATGATACAACTGCTCCATATCAAAGGCAGAGCTTGTACAAGCTTCTACGTGTTAAGAACGTAGTGACAGATTAACAATGAAATTTTACTCCCAAATAACTCAGCAATACTGCCTGCCCTCCTACCCCAACCCCATCCTCCACCAGGGGCCAAGTCGACTTGTCCCTCACAGGGCATGACATTCAGGGGCCAGAGCCATTTAAAACTTCATGTCCCCAGATGCTTTATTCTCCAGTTACATGTGCAAACATTTGACATAAGTCTTTTTTCGGATTGTAAATTCTTGAGGGTCATGGGTTAGATTTTATGCGTCCTTGTTTACCTATCCACATTTTTTGCATGTTTCCCAGCAGGCGTGGAGGCGGGGAAGATGACACGTGACCATACCAGCAAGGGAAGTTCCTTGATAATGGGCTTGAGTCAGGAATACAGCCCGAGAGAAGGGATATTTCTCTCTCCTCAGTGACCAGCCACCAAAGGCTTGTCACACTGCTGAATGCCTTCCAAAGTGCATAGGGGCCAGCTCTCCAAGATATAAAGGATGCCCCAAAAAAGAATAAAAATAAAAGCGTAATGAGCGTTCCCTCAAGCAAAGAACTGAGCACTGCCTTTTGTGTTGCAAAGGGGCAAGGGGACCCTAATTTTGCAAGACTTCCAAAAGAGGGTGCAGAGGGGTAATTGTTTCAAGGTGGCAATCATTCCTGCATGCCCCTCCCCCATCCCAGCCTCTGCCAGGCAACTGCCCAGGCTTTCTGAAGAATGCCACCACCCCACCAAACGCACACTCCTGCCCGGCCCCAGGCCATTTCCTTTCCCTCTAGGCCTGGTGTTTTCATTTCGGGCAACCGTGCATACCAATGAGCCAGACAAAGTTCTGGGCAGGGCCTGTCAGCACCGTTTTGTCTTCTTTCAGCTGCGGACCCCAGAGTCGTTTCCATTGCCAACCGAGTCGCTGAAATTGTTTATTCCTGGCCGCCGCCAGAAGAGTTCCACAGCCAGGGAGGAGGCTTCAACTCCCAAGAGCTTCTGGTACCCCAGAGTTTCAAAGAGCAGTCTGGAGCCAAGAAAGGTAAACTTCCCTTCTGAGCCTTTGGCCCAGGGTGAGTGTTGGCCAAGCAGAGGTCCATGAGCACGTATGTATTTATTCAGCTCAGAGCCCTGCCACTTAGGAATCTCTGCTGACCTGGACTCAGGGCACCACCATCACATGCTGGAGGCACTGGCCTTTAGCTGGAGAACCCAGCCCAAGTCAAGGGGAGTGCTCCAGCAGAGGGAAGCTGCATGCCAAGCTCACTGCTAGGTCCAAAGAAAAGTCTCCTATTGAGGGACAGGAGGAGGTGCAAAGCAAGCACTCAATCTTGTCCGCAGCTGGGGGGCAGGCGGGGGGAATGAAGCATTCGATTTCACCATGTTAGCCACGGCCAAGGCCCGGTGTGCTCAAGCGAGTGCATAGGCTGTAGGTGGAGCGTCCCCCCAGGAGTTTACACTATTGCCTTGGGCTCCCGGGAAGGTGCAGGGGGCTTGTCAGGCACCAAGCCTAGAGCCAAACATGAAGCAGACCTGAGAAGTCATGATGAGGCTGGGTTGGTTGTCACCCAAACTGGAGCAACAGCCAGGACTGTGGACCCCAACCGACCTGGAGAAATTCTAGACGTGAGGGAAAGGGAAGGTGTCAGCTGTGTCCAACTCTTTGTGGCTCCATGGACTGTACCCTGCCAGGCTCCTCTCTCCATTGGGTTTCCCAGGCAAGAATACTGGAGTGGGTTGCCATGCCCTCCTCCAGGGGATCATCCTGGCCCAGGGATGGAACCCGCGTCTCCTGCTTTGGCAGGCAGATTCTTTACGGTCTGAGCTACCAGGGAAGCCCAGAGTTGAGAGAAAGAGGACCAAGTGCCCGGGAAGAGGAGTTCAGTCTGACGTTCCCTCACTAATGACTGCCCAACCTGTGGTTCTCTTTCTCAAACTCCAGTGGGCGATGAGGGGCCCAGCTGGCTCTTGAGTTGGCAGCACATCAAGCGACAAGGCAGAGTCTTCAATCGTGGCGGTGCCCCCCAACCCCAGAACCAAACTGGTGAGTGTGTCCACCCTGGCTGTGCTGCCAAGACCACAAGCTACCAAAGGGGCTCAGAGTGAGGAGCTGGGAGAGCAGGACCCCTCAGAGAGTAAAAAAACCCAAAGTGTTCCTACTTTACTGCGATCTCATGTGTGTCTAGGCCACATAAAGTGATGACACCAAACCAAGCCAAAGCTCAGACCCTCATCCTCCAGGCACATGAGCAACTGGGACTGCTGCTGCAGCAACTTTCCCAGAAAGAGGCAACAGAATCCGGTAAAAACTACACATGGGTGGCGGAAGCATCCAGTCCTTCTCCCAGGTGACTTGGGTCTCAGGCTTCCTACCTCCTCGCCCTTCACTCGACCTCGTGGCATGAATTTCCTGGCCTCTCCTCCCCTTCTCCTCTGGGACCCACATGAGGACTTTGTGACTTCAGAGACTATGCCACAAGGAAAACATGCTGTTCCCTCAGTAACAGGCTTGTCTCTGTTTGGATTCCACACTATAGCAATGACTGTTTTCCTAATATTATTTCACTGTTAGCACGTTTGGAGACAAGGGAAAGCAGACTCCACCTTCCCTGTTTCCAACACACAGAGCACACACCAACTGGAGCCATCTCCATCGCCATCTGCCATGTTAGCCTTTGGGGTGGGAGAACTTATTCATTGTATTTACTTAAACTCTACCCTGTTGTAAAGACACAGCATACAAAGTACATGTTTTGGTACATGTACTTTGTACAAGTGCAAAGTTAGATAAATCCAATTTGAAAGATAATGTTTAAAAAAAAAAAGTAGGAAAATAGGCGGGTTTGGGAATGACTTTAATTTCCCAAATTCAGGAAGACTGTACCTTCCTCTCAGGAGGCCACAGTTTGGCTCCGAGTTTTCTAGCAGTTAACACAAAGGATGAATATGATCAAACAGGGGTTTATGGTGTCTACATGGGAAAAGACCACCTGCTCAGGAAAAACCCAAAGACCTGACAGACATTTCTTCTAAGTATCAGGGGGGAAGGGATTGTCAGGGAGTTTAGGAGGGACATGTGCACACTGCTGTATTTAAAATGGATAACCAACAAGGACCTACTGTATAGCACAGGGAACTCTGCTCAATGTTACATGGCAGCCTGGAACACAGGGGAGTTTAGGGGAGAATGGATATGTGTATACATTTAACTGAGTTCCTTCACTCTCAACCTGAAACTATTACAACATTGTTAATTGGCTACACCCCAATACAAAATAAAAAGTTAAAAAATTTTCTTCTAAGTATCATTAGAGATAAGTTCATGCATCTTCAACAGCATTCTTAGAGCAAATAAAGTGATGAGTTTCATGGTGAGAATAAGGGGGCTAGGGGAGGAAAGAAGGGAGAAAAGAAGGAGATGGAGGAGAGGCTGTTCAGAATGCTTTGGGCGTCATCAGAAGAGGTGAAGTAGGTTTACTTTGCTGGAAGTTACAAAGTGCATGGTCTTCCTCACACCCTAACTAGGCTACAAGCTTTTCCCTGGAAACATAAAAGATTTTTTTTTTTCTCTTGCAAGAAATAATTGTAATTTTCCCCTGACAGAAGGAGAAGACCAAATAATAGCCAGAATTGTTGAGCTGCTGAAATATTCAGGGGAGCTGTTGGAAAGAGAGGTAGGGAGCGTCTTGAACTAATGGGTTTTCTTTCTGTGTCCCCACCCTGTACTGGGGAATGGAACTGGACTGATGGTTGTACTCCTTTTTCAAAGTTCTGGTTTCTACTTAAGTCCTAAATTTTATTTCCCTTGGAGTCAAAACTCTTCATGCTGGCAGGGTCTCAAAAATGAATCACTTTGGAAAACATAAGTAAACCTTCTGGAGCCTCCTCGGAATTTTTGGAAAGGAAAAAAGTCACCAATAAATTAAAATTCGCTGAATAGAATTATGAATCTAGTTCCCCATGTAACTGATCCTCAGGGAAGTTTAGACTCTTGTGTTTGCCCTGCAGCCTGAATATCTGTGTCCCACAGCTGCTCCAAGTCTGGAGTGTTGTCTGAAATCTCCCCCTAGAACGGCCGGACTGTTCTCTCTCAGCAGTTCGGCCAAGGGACAGGTTAGCGTTACCTGGAGAATGCTGGGCTTCGTGCCAGTTAGAAGTTGAGACTGGTTATTCCCATCAGGAACGTGCAAGCGTTGCCTTCAGGTAAGGAGGTGGTGGGCAGGCCCCCCTGTGGTCACGGCTTCTGAACGCAGCCCGTCTCTGTGTTACCCATGGATGGCTGTGTGGTCTCCTGCGTCTGGCCATCAGGAGCTGGCCGGGGGACACACTCTCTTGTTTTGCAAGGATCCACGGGCAGGAAGTCAGATCTGTGGGGCTCTGCAGGAGGGGTTAACAGCGCTAACTGGCCAGCCACCCACCCCAGTCCACCCCAGCGTGCTTGGTGGCTCCTCGATGCCCTTGTCAGAGGTGTCCCAGAGGATGGTGACCAGGATGGGGGAGGAATATGTGATGGTACAGAATGAGGAACACTGAGGGAACCAAGGCCAGACCAAAGAAAAGAGGAGGAAATAGGAGAGATTTGGGGCCTTAGTAGACGGTGGACAGGGGTGCAGAGGAAGCAGAAAACAGAAGAGGGCATATGATGACCCTGTGTTTCTCCAGAACTAGCATCAATGGACAGGAGTTACGGGGCAAGTCATTTCTCCCCATTTGAAGGGTGAACCTTGTAGCTCTCAAGGCTGTCCACTGGGGCTTCTCTGGTGGTCTAGCAGTTAAGACTTCATGCTCCCAATGCAGGGAACATGGGTTCAATCCCTGGTCAGGGAACTAAGACCCCATATGCCGTGCAGCATGGCCAAAAAAAAAAAGGCCAAGGCAGTATTGTTCTTTTTCTAAGACCATGATACTCTTAAGGAAGGAAAGCTAAGACATACAACATTCAAGAGAGGAGTATAAGGTAAAATCAATTGAGTAGAACAATGGAAGGGAATCAATCGATTAGGTTTTATTTTTCTTTTCATATGAACTCAGGTAACTCATGAACATTTCCCTAATAACTCTGAGCTCCTGAAGCACCCTGGACACATGCTAACATTTCAAGAGCATTTTTTCCATGTTGGGTACAAGGCCAAGTGTTTCAAAATTACTCTGCGTTTCCCTGGTGGCTCAGATAGTAAAGAGTCTGCCTGCAGTGTGGGAGACCCAGGTTCAATCCCTGGATTGGGAAGATCCCTTGGAGAAGGAAATGGCAACCCATTCTAGTATTCTTGCCTGGAAAATCCCAAGGATGGAGGAATCTGGCAGGTTACAGTCCATCGGGTTACAAAAAGTCGGCCACGACACAGTGACTTCACTTTCACTTTCTTCGTATGGGCTGTCGCCCCAGTATAGAGGCGACATAACTGAAACTGAGAAGTTAAGTAATTTCTCCAAGATTGCACAGCTAATAATAAGTGGAACAGGGGTTTGAGCCAAAACAGCGATTTCCAGGTTTTGGATTCTGCCCATCACACAACCTCTAACAAAGCACCTTTCACTGGGTTACAAGTGTCAGTGGACTCTGAGCCCCTTGAGTGAGGATGTGTCTTAGTCATCCACGGTACCACCTGTCATAAGTGCTAGGAAACATTTGTTGAATGTCCTGTGAACAGGCTGTTCAGTCTGTATTGGTTCCCATGGAAGGAATTCACAGAGAAAGTCCATGCCCTATCTGGTCCTGTGGGATATGGTTCCACATTTGAGATTAGAATCCAGGGTTTTCCACTGGGTGTTTAGTTACCCAGTGTTCAGCAGGAGAGTCTGCTTCCCCGGCCAAGGCTGATACATACTGTTTCTCCTCTCGTACACAGTTGAAGAAAGACAAGGTTTTGATGACCTGCTTCCAGGATGGGTTATCCTATCCTGTTTTCAAGACCATCACAGACCAGTTCCTAAGGGGCGTGGACACCAGGGGAGAATCAGAGGTCAAAGCTCAGGGCTTTAAAGCTGCTCTTGCAATAGATGTCATAGCCAAGCTCACGACTGTCGACAACCACCCCATGAACAGGGTGCTGGGTTTTGGAACCAAGTACCTGAAAGAGAATTTCTCGCCCTGGATCCAGCAGCACGGTGGATGGGTAAGTGCACTCTATCTAAAAATGAAATCTTCCCAGAACTCAGGGGGCTCGGTATGGAAAGGGGTTTTTTCTGGGGCTTGCTTTTTTTAAGTGAAGGGAACACATCTTTGTAGCAGTTCTCATGGGTTTAGGACACTTGAGTGGCAAGAGATTTACCCCATTGATGGGAACATATTTTTAGTTATTATCTTCATTATCAATAAATATTTACTGAGCTCCCAAAGGGTATGTGGGGTATGTGAGTGAGAGGAGAGGGACTGGTCAGACAGAACAGGAAATGAAGAGATGCTGAGATATAAAATGTTTGGATAGATACAATTTCTGTTTTCACAAATTTTGCAGGCAACGGAAGTCTGGCAGTGAGACTAGGAGAAGTTTCTTATTCTCTCAGGGGTGTGAGAATAATCTTTACACAGAGGTTCAGGGCTTATGACATTTTGTCATTGCTGCTGGGACCTAGACATTCCGACAGGGACATTTTGATACAAACTGAAGAGCAGTTTAATTTTCATCTATTTTTAAAGTATCTGCTATCAGGCAAAACAGACATCTTTACCCTGATTCCTCAGCCTCAGCCCTTCCCCTACCCTTTTCCTTTGAGATGTCTTTAAAACTGTCCTGTTCAAATGGCCTCATAAGGGGAACCTTTTCAAACTGCCTTACCCCAGAGCTCTAAACCTCAGTAGGCATAGGACATTTTTGTCTGTTCCAGCCCTTCCTAGGAGGACATGCACTACTATCATGAGTCCTATTTCTACTTGGGCCTCTACAGAGGCCAGAAAAAGACCTGAGTCTGCTCTGGGCATGGCCAGCGTGACCCCAGGGCCTCCAAACAGGCTTAGTCTCTTGGCTACCAGATGGGAAGTATAGCTGATCATGCCTGTGGGCCTGATGTGCCCACCACAATCACCAGTTGCTGCCCATTAAACTACCCAGACTTCTGTTCTTTCCTATTTTCCACTGTCGCACCAGATATGATAGCCCTTAAGAGGCTAATCTGAGCTTCCCAGGTGGCGCTAGTGGTAAAAAAACCCGCCTGCCAATGCAGGAGACGCGGGTTCTATCCCTGGGTCAGGAAGGTCCCCTGGGGAAGGAAATGGCAACTTACTCCAGTATTCTTGCCTGGAAAATTCCAAGGACAGAAGAGCCAGGTGGGCTACAGTCCACTGGGTTGCAAAGAGTCAGGCATGACTGACGCAACTGCAGCAGCAGGAAGTGGCTAATCTGAACAAGGCTCTTAAGTTCTCCAAATTCAAGCTGCCTTAACTCATGAAGGAGGATAGATTCCTGAGCATCACTTCAGATTTAACAGCTCTAAGGCCCTTCAAGACCAGGGCCCCCTCAAGTCCCTCCTCCGCCTCAAAGCCCCTCCTGTCTACTCTAGCTCAAGACCCTTACCAGCCTCTGAGTCTTTACAACACTTCATATTTGCACTACAATTATATACAGGAAATTACCATCATTGTTGGTCTTCTTAATATAATCTTCCAGAGGGACTGTAAGTATCAACTGGATTTACAAGCCAGTTCGCAAAATCTAGTTAACTAATGTAACTGAAATGCCAAAAATGTTCTATGAAAACTAGTGTTTCTATACCATAAGTACAAACAACAAAACAAAAAATAAAAGGGACTACATTAAGATTAAAAACATTTCTGCTTCAAAGGATACCCTCAAGAAGGTAAAGAGACAACCCACAGAATGGGAAAAAGTAGTTGCGAATTATATATCTGATAAGGGACTTGTATTCAGAATATGTAATAAATTCTTACAAGTCAACAAACAATAAAAGGACAACACCCCCCACCAATTTTTAAAATGGGCAATCAATTTGAACAGACATTTCCGGGACTTCCCTGGGGGTCCAGTGGTTAAGAATCCACCTTGCAATGCAGAGGATGTGGGTTCAATCCCTGGTCAAGGAGCTAAGACTCCACATGCTGTGGAGCAACTAAGCCCATGCGCCACAACTACTGTGCCTGTATGCTCTGGAGCGCGTGAGCCACAACTAGAGGGTCAGTGCACCACAACAAAAGATTGTGCATGACATAATAAGATCCCACGTGTCACAAGTAAGAACTGACACAGCCAAATGAATCAGTACTTTTTAAAAACAGACATTTCTCCAAAGAAGATATACAAATGGCCAATGAGCACATGAAAAGATGTTTGCTTGACATCTTCATTTCAACATTAGGAAAATGCAAATCAAAACCACAATGAGATACCATTTCACACCCACTAGCATGGCTAAAACAAAAAAGACAAGTGTTGGTGAGGATGTGGAGAATTTGAACACTCGTACATTGCTGGCTGGATTCTAAAATGGTCCTATCTCTTTGGGAGACAATTTGGCAGTTCCTCAAAATGTTAAATGTAGGGTTACCAATTCTACTCTTCTGTCTATATCCAAGAAAACAGAAAACAAGTGTTCACATAAAAGCCTGTACATGAAAAAAAAAAAAAGGCTTGTACATGAATGTTCAGAACAGTATTCATTATTCATAAAGGCCCCAAAGTAGAAACAACACAGATTTTCCATGATGAATAATGAATGGAAAAACCAAATGTGAAATATCCATACACTGGAGTAACATTCAGCCATAAAAAGGAATTAAGTATGGACAGGTGGATGAACCTTGAAAACACTATGCACAGTGAAAGAAGTCAGACAAAAAGGCCATATATTGTATTATTCCATTTATATGAAATGTCTAGAATAGACAAATTCGTAGAGGCAGTGATTTCCTAGGGCTGTGGGGAGAAAGAATGGCATGTGACTGCTGATGGACACAGTTTCTTTCTGTAATGATGAAAATGTTCTAAAATCAGATAGAACTGATGGTTGCACAACTCTGAACACACTAAGAGCCACTGAATTATATATTCTTAAAAGGGTGACTTTTACACTATATTTCAAGAAATCTGTCATTAAAAATAGTGGTCCTAATTCTAATAAGCAAATAAAAAGAAGAAAGAATACAGTTCTATTATTTTTTAATTTGGCTGCTAGTGCTAGAGAAAAAAACAATTCCAATCAGAGAAAACAGATGGATTTTGGGGTAGAAATAATAAAGTGAATTTTCAAAAGCTTTAGAATTTTGTGGCACTAGTTCTTTATCACATGTATTTTCAATTCAAAATTTATTAGTTTACTTTTCCAGGTCATCATAAATCCTAATCTTAAGTCTTGGCCACAGTTAGGTTTAATTTGGAGCAAGAAGTTAGAAATTAGGAGAGGGAAGAAAAAAAAAGGGACTAATTTTTTCCAAAGTCAGAAACAGAGTTGCAAAAAATAAAGGATGCTGCTCAAAGAATATTTATGAGTTGATATGACTATGAGAATGTGGAGAAGATGTGGATTGACATGTGAGCTCAGTTTCCCTGAACAGAAATGAGGGGACACTGGTGGCCAGCCTTCCATTGCCCCAGGGATTTCAGTGGCTCTCTGGAGTGTCCCTAGTGGGGTAGAAGGAGAAAAACTATTCCTAGGCATACAATTTTCAGGAGCTCGGGGTTCCTAAGTATTATATCTCAGCATTCCATGTCTCACAGGAGTGCACCAAATCTTCCCAATGGAACCACAAGCCTATGAAGGCCGGGTTATATATTTTATCCCCTTCTCTCTCATGGTTTCCATTACCTTTACATACATCATAGATGCTCGGCCAATACTTGGAGAGCAATGTGTGTGTTAGTTTCTCAGTCATGTCTGACTCTTTGGAGCCTGCCAGGCTCCTCTGTCCATGGGATTCTCCAGGCAAGAATACTGGAGTGGGTTGCCATTCTCTTCTCCATGGGATCTTCCTGACCCAGGGATAAACATGGGTCTCTCACATTGGAGGCAGATTCTTTACCCTTTGAGCCACCAGGGAAGCCCTGGAGAGCAATAATTAATTAGTCAAATCAATGAATAGTGACAAAGCATACCAAACAAGCCATCATTTGATTTTCATTTATTCCCTGGCCCTTTTTGCCTCACTTGAAGCACTATTCACATAGCTATCCTGTGGTCCTGCAACCTCACCCCTTCTACCGCATCTTGAAAGGAGAGGTTAACAACCTCCATAGTCATCAACCTTTTTGAATTTAAATACAGCATCAGACTCTTCCCATCTAGACTCTTCCTATACTTAACCCTGAGTGTGTAACATAAGTCCTTAACTGGTGTTTTCCTTTCAGGCATACCAAGGATGCTAGTCACCTTTCCAAACCCTCCCCCAACTCTAACACGTCTGCAAGCCTCGGGTCAGGCTTGGGATAAGAAAGCAGAGTTAACAGGCATATGTTTTCACTTCAACACAGAATCAAACTTGGAATTCTAAAAATCTATTTCTCTTTTTCCCCTTCTAGGAGAAAATACTTAGGATACCACACGAAGAAGTAGACTGAAACATCAGAGGATTTGTAACTTGGAATACTTATATTCTGGTTCTGGTCTTGTATACATCGGTCTCAGCACAGACTACAGGAGAAAACACAAATGGACAAGGTGGATGGAGCACCAAAGGCTGAATAACCATTACTCCTGCAAGTCAAGAGGCATCAGGAGAGACCTTGACTGTTCCCTGCTCCTAGGATGTAGAGCATGGCCTCCGGCATCCATGTCTTCAGGTTGTCTACTGAGTATGCAAGAAAGTCTAGGAAGACAAGTGGTAACCTTCTGTTTAAATGCTTACAACGGAAACCATCACCCAAACTCTGCTGGCCACTTTCGGGACAGTGCGTGACACATACTTGTTGACCTCATGAAGGTGAAATGATAAATGGTGCATGTGCTTACTCTGTGGCTTCTAGTACTGTTTATTTTTCAAAATTCACTTGAGATGGTCTGACCTTATTTCAAGCCTGCCTTTAGGCTGATGTAGCTGTTCATGTTGGTAGACAGAGGTCAAAGAGACTCTCGAGTTTATGGCCAGCCTGGGGAGAGACTGCCTGATCTGCCTTTTTTGGCTCCCTTCTCTGGACAATTCTTTGGCAGTTTGAAAAACTTCTATTTGGCAGAAAACAATTATTCCTGTCACCCTCAACTATCTCAGTGACCTCATCTCTACTTCTAGAGGTTTCTAGAACTTTGTTATTTTGGGGGCTAGTGTAATGATTAATGCTTAGTAAAATAAATGTGCAGAAAGACAACTGTCAAAAGAGTATGTTTATGGTTAAAATAAATTGTAAGTAAAAGTATGTGATTTCTGTGAGGATTATAGAAGTTAATTTATACCAAGTGCTTAGAACAGTGCTTGTTATTTAATGCTGTGTTCACTTATGTCCACTATTGTGTAATGCCCTCTGCTAAGCTGAAAATTTCTTCTCCTCTCAAAGCCGTCACTAATTGTTTTTCTGAAATTGATACTTTTCCAAGTGAGGTTTTTTAGCATGTGAAGTATGTTCCATGGTATGTGTTTAAGGCACAAAACAATTTTTTAAAATACTATCAAATTATGGTCTTCCCTGAGATAAAAATGAGTTATTCTCTTTTATTTTCTTCCCCCACACTGAAACTCAGACATTTTAGGGAGAAAGGAGTTTCCCTTTTCAGAGGAAGACACTAGAGATCACTTCCTCTTTATTCCAAACTGTCTGCAGTTCCCCAAATGTACGACATAACCTCGTACCTCTGAGCCTCATAACAGCATTTTCTCCACTTGGACTGTTCTTGGTGGTCAGCCCTCTTTCCCCTGTTTCCCCTGTTGCAACTCATTCCAGCCCATTTTTCCAAATTCGCGTCTTCAATTTCTCCAGGAAGCATTTACTAACCTTCCCTGGGCCACCATTTGGAAAGGCCATTTGGATGCCTTTCCTCATAAAGATGTTCCATAACACCCTGTGGAGAGACATTATACTTAATATATTTTATACTCATAAAAATAAGTCTTTTGCACTGGATTATATAAATTATTTTGTAAACAAGTATTATGTCTGGGTTTCCCTGGTGGTTCAGTAGTAAAGAATCTGACTGCAATGCAAGACACCTGGGTTCAATCCCTGGGTCAGGAAGATCCTCTGGAGAAGGAAATGGCAACCCACTCCAGTATTCTTGCCTGGGAAATCCCGTGGACACAGGAGCCTGGAGGGCTACAGTCCATGGGGTCACAAAAGAGTCGGACACAACTCAGGGACTAAACAACATGTATTAGGTCTAATTTAACTGTAAAAGCCTGGCACATTTTCAGTGCACAATTGCATAATCACACCCTAGGCTCACTGCTATAACCTATAAATCAGTAAGGACAAAGCACGGCTGAAGGTATGTGTGCTTTTAACAACCATTCCAAGTGTTCCAGTATCATCTGCAGCTTCAAGATAAGATGAAGTACTAGTAACTGAATTTAATCTCCTGCTAAAAACAACTGGAAGAACACGTGGAATATATGAAAGAACAGTTATCAACACATTGTGCATCAGGTAATGAAGGATTGGTCCCTGAGAGATAAGAAAAAATGTGAGTTCAATGACTGCCCTAGATTACTGCAGGTCAAGAGTTCCCAGGCCATGTTACAGAAAAGGGAGCCCGCACAGGGCTGACCACTCTCCCTGGAGAGAGAAGGCAGAGCCTGGAAGTGCAAAATGGCCAAGGCAGCTAAAATTTGCAGGGCAAATGGAGAGCAGAAAATGGTGCACAAAGTTTTAGAGATCTGCAGACAGTTCCCCTTAAGTTTTCAGATGAAAACTCATCAACACATACGTGTGAAGAAGTTACCCAAGGCTTGGGAAAGAAACGCCTGAAAATATAAAGCCGAATACTCTCTTTCAGGCTCACACAGGGCCGGGAGCAGGGCCTATTTCCACTAACCAGAAGGGAAAAACCTCAAAATGCACATGGCAATAGGCAGAGTACACAAAAGAATTTTGCCTCAGTAGAGGGGAAAAAATTAGCCGCAGACTAAACATACTTATAGTTCTCTCCAACAAAAGCGAAGAGCAAGTACCAAAAGGATTAAGCTGTTATCGTGTAATTTAGCTGTGTTCCCGAACAAAGCTCAAGAATCTTCAAAGGATCGCAAAAATATGCAACACCCAACAAGGTAACAATCACAATGTTTAGCATCCAATAAAAAATGACAAGGCATGTAGAGAAGCAGGAAAATTAGACCCATTATATTGAGGGGAAAGTTAAAAATACACACACACAAATGATACAGCTGATAGAATTATTAAGAGACATCAAAACCATCCTGATTGTGTTCTGTATGTTCAACAAACCAGAGGAAAGATAAGTATGACTCAAATCAAACTCCTAGGGAAGAAATCTATAACTCCAAGATGAAAAATACATTGGTTTGGATTAATAGCAGACTAGACACTGTAAAAGAATAGATAAGTAAACTTGAAGACACAGCAATAGATTCAAAATAAAACACAAAGAAATAAGACTGGGGCGGGCAGAGCGGGTAGGACGACAGTGCAACAGAGACTTGGGAAGCAATTTCTACCAGCCTAACAATCTGAAGATTTTCCAAATTTGAGGAAAACTATAAACCTACAAAGCCAAGAAACTCAACGAATGCTAAGCAACAACAACAACAACAACCCCAAAAATGTAGAAAACTACACTAAGTCAGTTCAGTCGCTCAGTTGTGTCCGACTCTTTGTGACCCCATGAATCATAGCACTCCAGGCCTCCCTGTCCATCACCAACTCCAGGAGTTTACTCAAATTCATGCCCATCAAGTCGGTGATGCCATCCAGCCATCTCATCCTCTGTCGTCCCCTTCTCCTCCTGCCCCCAATCCCTCCAGCATCAGGGTCTTTCCCAATGAATCAACTCTTCGCATGAGGTGGCCAAACTATTGGAGTTTCAGCTTCAGCATCAGTCCGTCCAATGAACACCCAGGACTGATCTCCTTTAGGATGGACTGGTTGGATCTCCTTGCAGTCCAAGGGACTCTCAAGTCTTCTCCCACACCACAGTTCAAAAGCATCAATTTTTAAGGTACATCATAAACTGCTCAAAGCCAGTGATGATTAAAAAAAAACTTAAAAGTAGACAGAGGAAAAGTTACACTACATTCAGAGAAACAACAATAAAAATGACAGCAAATTTTCTTGATGAACAATACAAGACTGAAAAAGATTAATAACTTTAAAGCATGAGAAGAAAAAAGCAAACTTGTCAGCATAGAACTCTATACAACAAAAAGATGATTTTTTTTTAATTAAAAATTTTTTTTTTTGTATATAGCAGCTTTATTGATAATTGCCAAAACTTGGAATTAACCAAGGTGGCCTTCAAGATACGAATGGATATATTATGGTACATCCAGACAATGGAGTATTCAGCATTAAGTCAAAAACTGCTGAAAAAAATGTATTAACTAAAACAAAACCAAATTACATTCTATCAACACATAGCTAGTAACAGTCACTTTCAGGTAAACCTCAANAGGGACTGAATCCACATCTCTTAGGTCTCCTGCATTGGCAGGCGTGTTCTGTACCATTAGTGCCACCTGGGAAGCCCAGTTATTAGGGTACTGATGGTAAAACACAGATTGCTTCCCCTTAGGTCAGCAAAAAGATGATTGTAAAAAGGAAGGTGAGGGACTTCTTTGGTGGTCTATTGGCTAAGACTCTGCGCTGTCAATGCAGGGGTCCCAGGTTCAATCTCAAGTCAGGGAACTAGATCATACGTGCTGCAACTAAGAGTTAACATGCCATGACTAAAGATCCCGCAGGCAGCAAATAAGACCTGGCAAAGCCAAATAAATACAATTTTTTTTTTTAAAAAGGAAGGTGAAATAAAGATTTTTTTCTGAGGTATACTAAAAATAAAAGAACTCCTCACCAGCGGAACTGAACCACCAAAAAAGAAAATGTTAAAGGGAGTCATTTAGGCAGAAGGAAAATTATATCAAATAGAAATCTGTATCTCAAAGAACAGTGAGCACTGGAAATGATAAATATGATAAAATACTCTCTTTGAATCTCTTTAAAAGATAATGGACCATTTAAAGAAAAATAAAAACAATGTATTGTAGGATTTATAACATATGCAGAATAAAATGTGTGATAATAATAGTACAGGGATGTGGAGAGAGAGATGGAAATATAATTGCAAGATTCCAGGCTCTACATGAAGTGTATAATTTCATTTGAAAGTAGCCTGTGGTTAAGTTTAAAATGTATATACTGTATATCTAAAAACATCACTAAAATATGCACATATATATATAGTTACACAAGACCTAACAGTTCATAATCTGGCAGATGACAAATCTAGTCTACAGCAATTTTACTGTACAGTAGTATTCTGGCTATGGAGAAGGAAATGGCTACCCACTCTAGTTTTCTTAACTGAAGAATTCTATGGACAGATAAACCTGTCAGGTTATGATCCATGGGGTCGCAAAGAGTCGGATATGACTGAGTGACTAACACACACATTCTGGCTAAAGAATCTAGTGCTTTCTGCTGGGAGGCTATGGCTTGAGCCATTTGTTACTATTCCCAAAGTAAAAAACAAAAAATTTTAATACTTGTTAAGAGAAGAACTTGAGATCATAAGGTTGCAGGTGGCAGCTCCCAGCAGACACCGCTTTGAGAATGGCTAGTAGCATCCCTGAGCCCAACACAGATCACAAAGTTCAAGTTCTCATCTCACCTCTACATTCACATCCAAAATGACCACCCAGCTCCACCCTGGATGCCTGAACCACAGCCACACCATTTTGACTTTAAATTAATTCCCTTCCTTGATGGCCAAAGCAGATATACAATGCATGATTGACAGGCCATAAAATAGGCCACCTTGATCAGAATAAAGTTCAAGTTAAATCATGTATA